TCCTAATTTACTGAAGCATTTTTTCCCACCAGAAGCAAAACATTAATGCTTTATTTGTCAATCTATTTTAGGCATTGGTTTAATTGTGATTAGAAATCTAAATTAGAGCAATAACATAAGTTTACTTTTACTGTAAAAAAAAAAAAGTATTCACTGCATTTTTATTGGTCCAGATTTACAGAAAAAAGCAGCAGTGTCCACAACATCTGTTGGTTCTGGAGCTATTTCTCTTTATCATATAGACTCATCATCAAAATAATACAATTTAAAATAAATATTGACAAAATTTCCCATGAGCATGTGAGAGTACAATCTGGAATTAATTTAGTTGAAGATATAATCAAATGTACAGCTGATGAAGATGCTAAGTGAAATCCTATTATGTATCAACATTTATTCAATAACAAAGCAAACAAATAAAAAAGAGAAAAATATTCAGAGAATACAGTATATTGTGGCTCATGAGTGGTACTTTTCATAGTCACCTCTAGGTGGCACCAAATATATTTCCATTAGTAGAAAACATATGGAGAGGAGGTGCAGTGTCTAAACAAACCTGCTATTATCTGCTACCTGTAATCTTTCTGATACACTGACATGGAACCACTGATGGCAACTGATGACTTCCTGATGAGAATTTCCTTCCACTACATGCTGCTGTTGATTAATTGTTCTGTCAGCTTATAATCACTAAGAGTGAAAATTGCCTGGCTGAATCTAATTTTCCATTTTCCAACTCGGTTGCCACTTGAGTCTAAAAAGGTTTCTAATTGAACCTCCAATATAATACTCAACATGATCTGCCTCTAAAAAAATGGGTCTCTGAAGAAATAATTCCCCAAAGACCCCTGTCTCTATGGGAGGCTAGTTGACTTAATGATATACAGATGTATCATAAATATATATAAAGAGCATATGAAGAGGTCCTCAAAAACACTCAAGGGACCACTACAAACAATGCTTTTAACCAYGAGGAGTTGCTCAGCGATCTCTTTTTGAAGGGCCTCTTGAGCATCTCTGCATTACAAAACTGTATATCAACTACAGTACCGCTGGCTAATCGACCAATCATGAGCTCAAACACAAACGTACACACAGAGTAATCCCACGGGAGGCATCCAGTATATCAGACTTCGGAGATCTGCCAAGGAAATCTGTATCTCTCTCTGTCTCTGTGTCTCGCAGGACAGGGGATCCAAGACGAAGGATCAATGTTGCTACTTGATGCTCGGATGAGTTGTCATGAGTGACCTTCTCACTTGTTCAAATTAAACCTCATATGAGTATATGATAGCCCGATGACCCCTGAATAATTTTTTTTTCTCAAAATATTTTTAGGAAATACTGGACAATGTTTGTCAGGCCAAAATAACAAAATATACAACAAAGAAAAAGAAATACTAAGACTGGAATAAGCAGAAATTCTGACTAAATAAGTTGAGATGTGAAACTATTGTCAGACCACCCCGTTAGCCGGTAGTTGTTAGGGTTGATACTGTATTTATGGTGACAGCTCAACAAAACTGGAGCTCACATATGATCCAAAGCAGTGGAAAAACCTGGGTCTGAGGCACAGGATGAACGTTGCTGCATTCAATATGAGTTGCTTTTTGCCGCTGCCAGCTGCTCAGTCACCAGCGCCAGCTTATCATTGGCCAGATAAATAGTTGGCCTCAGCCTGGAAACAACCTCCAAAGTTGTGGCCTCTGCCAGCCACTCACAACCCTGTCTGATGCAATGTCTTTATGTTGCTTGCACAATGGTGCAAAAACGCCAACCATCCACCATCATCTTTTACCTGATTCTTTCCTTTCAGGGTCACTGTGCAATGGGTGGGGTACACAGGTCAAGGCCACATTGAGACAAACAGCTATTCAAGCTAGGGACAACTTAGAGTTACCAGTTAACCTAACATTCATGTTTTTTGTCTGTAGG